GCCTTCCAGAAACCTTTTCAACCACTTGTTGACGATTGGTTCCTTCAAAGGATTGTCTCCGTAAACTTGTTCCAAACACTAAAAAATCTCACGACCATTCTTGCCTAGCTCTGCAAGAATCTCCAGCTCGAACTGAGCATAGAGGGGATTGCACAGAGAGAGGGAACCACCGGGCCACAACAACGCCTTGACACGACGCCCCGAATTTTTTATACGAATTTTCCGGAAAAGCCTCGTACCACTGGAAGTTTAAATAAAACAAAGTTTAAAGGTTCTAAAAGATGTTTTATTAAATCAATTCAATAACATAAAAAGTATTCATAATATGATTGATGAATTTGGTCAAAGCAGAATACAACAAAATAAACAAAAATCACTTAGTAACCCCACTTCACTGAGCATTGAAAAAAGTAATATAATAAACAAAAGCCAATTTAAAGCACAAAAAATGGTAGAGATTGTATATTAACGTTGATAATAGGACAAAACTTGGCGGGGTAAAATTTGTTACAGCTGTATATCTATCCAACTTTTTGTACAACAAAATTGCAATATCATTAGAAAATATTTAAAATACATCGCAAAAAGATATAGACTGGCATATTATTGTTTGTACGTCACATTTCAGAAAAATGGTTAAAAATTGTTAACGCATATATGACGAATAATAAGCTGAAGTTTCGATCTTAAAATAACTTTCTACGTCTGTATCTTTCGGTAGTCTGTATATGATAATACATTTTGCAAAAGGCTTATGACTGCGGTGGATCGACGACAGGAGGTTGTACCTCAACGAACGTCTTATCTGGCACTTCAGGCACTTTCAACTCGCCACTCGCCACCTTTTCCCACACAGATTCGAAGTTGTACGTTGATTGGTCCTTGCCCGGTCTGTCCATCAGATGTGGCTTCATCTTCTTGCTGCTGGCTATCTCCAACCATTTCATACGGTCCCCGAAATCAACATCGCTGACGTAACGGAAAATTTGTGCACCCGTCATCACATCCGGCAGCAATTTCGAAAAGAACTGAAAGGAAATATATTTTTATATGCGAGCAAGGGCCTACATACAGTAATGGACAAAAGTATATAGACAAATAATTATTGTGCTGTATTTCTTTTTCAACTTGTTTTATTAATATACCAACCTGTATACATAATTCGTTATAGCATAATACTCACTTATACATAAATAAATTCATTATACTCCCTTCAATAAAAAAATAATTGAAAAAAACTGGAACTATGAACGACAAAAATATATAGACAGAGCAAAACAATTATAAAAAAAAGAAGCAAAGTCCATTGAATTGTAGAAAACCAACCATGTTTGTGTTAATATTTTGTAGCATAACCATTATTATCAATCACCGCCTGGCATCATCTCGGCATAGACTGTAGAAGTTTCTTGATATAAGATTCATCAATCTGTCTCCACTTTTGCTCTAAAGCGGCAAAAGTTCATCCTTGTTTGAATAATTTTTCTCTCGTATTTGCTTATCTAAGTATTCCCATAGATTTGCAATGGCGTTTATATCGGGAGACTGTGAGGGCCATTTGAGAACTGGTATTTTTTCATCCAGAAAGAATTTCTTTGCGAGACTTGAAGTATGCTGCGGTTCATTATCTTGCTGGAAGACTGATCTTAAGGGCATACTGTCTTCCATATAGGGTCTAGCATTTAGTTTTCTAGGCCGACCGCTTCTCTTGGAGGCTTCCAAGATACCTTTTTGTTTATATTTGTTCAATATTGCCCAGACTGCTTTACGCTTCAGCTTCAAATTTTTGGCAATGTCGACTTGATGTTGACCATCTTTGTATAATAATAATAATAATAATGCCTTTATTAGCTGCAGTGAGGCGAAGTTTAGCCAGACGGCTACTCTTACGCTCAACCCCACAACAGGCAAAAAGAATACTTAAACACATAAACAAAATAATAACATACCAAAAAAAATATACAATTCATAAGAATGACAACATTGATTGCACGAGACAAATGCAGATAGTATTGCGAGAGTTTTAAATTTGAAACAAAAATAGTAGAAAATAGTCAAACAAAAAAAAAACAAAAAAATCACATGAACACAAGAAAAACTGAACTAAATGGACTCCAGCAGCTGACTTTTCATTAATTTCTTAAAAGGATCAACCTGTTTGGATCGATAGCCACTGTTAACTGCATTGTAATGCTTGACAGCATTATAGGTGTAACTTCTTTCAAAGACCGAGGTATTGAACATGAACACAAACTAATCCTCTTCTGACACGAAACTGTACTAAACTAATATTGAAAAGAATTTGTCTACATATTTTTGTCCCTGATAAAAAAGTGCTTATATTCAGACTTGTGTTCATTGCGGATAATGTAGAAACAAGGAATTTAGTTTTTCTACTAATAACACATTTGTTTATGGAGCAATGAGGTATGAATTCGTTTTCTAAAGGTATTTAGGTAAATATTCATATTTGGCTATATACTTTTGTCCATTACTGTATGTAGTGGAACAATTGCGTTCCAGGAATTTGCCAATAAAAAATGTCGCGAAATAGATACGCAATGCTGTCATCAGTTCGGCACAAAGGCCCCCCTCAGAAAAGTTAGTTACAAACGTATACAGGGTGACCCAAAAGTCGACATCAAGCCGCAAACGGGGGATAGGACAAGTCATAATCGTAGAATGGTCTTAGAAAAAAAAAGAAATTTGTAGTAATGGGAACTATCATGACTTGACCTATCTCCCGTTTCCGGCTTGACGTCGACTTTTTGAACACCTTTTATAACAAAAAAATATGGAGACAAGTAGGTCGACTCTGCAGTTCGTATGCATTGCTATCATCAGTTCATAAAGGATGATGTTTGGCACAAGTTAGTCCCTCTTATCTACGAACATGTGTTACAAGGAAATTATAAGGGTCAAGCTAGTTAAAGATGCTCATACACATAATAATGATAATAATAATAATAATCCGGCTTTATTTATACAAAGTATAAAAAGGCGGAGTGTCGTTAAAAAGCGTTTTTCAACTTAACCCAACAAATATTTATGTAAATTTTCTAATCCCAATGAAAACAAGAGTTAAAAAAAACCTGTAACGAGTCCTTATTCATGGCCATGGTCTACTTACTGGGCAATGAAATCAGAGATAAAATTCTTCAATATTTTTTTGAAATTCTTTATAGAGTAGTTGGTGAACTCTGTAGGCAACGCGTTGTATAGCTTGATAGCAGTATATACGTATGACCTTTTAAATAGAGATGTTGAATGTCTCGGGATAACCAAGATATGCTTATTCTTTGTGTTCAGTTGATTAACATCTGAGTATCTGATAAATTTGGTTGGTAGATATGGAGGGGCTTGTGTTGTGATTACCTTATGGGTCAAGGTCAATACGTGCATTTTTTGTAGCTCTTCTATTTTTTGAACACCCAGCTCACGATATTTATGTGACACTGTTTCAAATTTTCTCACTCCACAAGCAAATCTGAGACAGGCATCGATCTTAGTGCAGGCCCATAAATACAATCACAGTAGTGAATTCTAGACCATATTAAGGTTTCGCACAACTTCAGCTTCAGCAGTATTCATACTTTTCCTATGAGGAAATAATTGCTTCAAGACACCGAATGATGTTCGGCACAGTTGACTAACGTGTTTTTCAAACCTCAAATCAGAATCAATCCAGAGTCCTAAATTCTTGCACTCATTTTTTATAGGGATCGGTTGATCTAAAATGCTCAATGATAGTAATGGATTTGCCTGACTTTTTTTGATTTTTGGTTCAAATATAACTGCGGATGATTTTAACGGGTTAATTTTGAGATTATCGGCACAAGATACGTTTGATAAATTTATTAAATTATTATTAATCAAATGTTCGGTATTTTTTAAATCTTCAATATCGAAGCCAAAGTACAATTGAGTGTCGTCAGCATAGTGATGAATACTGCAGTGTTCAACGTACTCGTGGAAGTCAGAAATGTAATTGAGATCAATAATGGTCCCAGAATGGAACCCTGAGGTACCACTAGTTTAACTATGGTATCTCCTCCGAGATACTTGACCCAATCACAATCACCTGACTCCTGTCAGTGAAATAACTTGACACAAAATTAATTGCAGACTCCGAAAAACCAAAGTATATAAGCTTTTCCACAAGATTAGATAGTTCCAGATATCAAAAGCCTTTGTATAATCAAGCAACACTAAGCATGCTAAATTTCCTTGATCCACACAACTGATTAAGTCATCCGTGATGTTAGCCAGAACTGTTGTTGCGCTGTAGTTTTTCCTGAAACCCGATTGGATTTCAGGAATGATATCATTAGAGAAGACCTGATGTTTCATGGCTAGTTCTTATAACTTGGAAAATGCTGGTAGTATATTTATCGGCCTCAGATGTGAAATATCTGTAGGGTTACTTATTTTAGCTAGGGGGAGAACATTTGCTTTTTTCCAACAGTTGGGGAAGTTTGATGATGCAATTGCATAGTTGATGATGAAAGTTATATTTTCAATTAGCAAATCGAATATGATTGTTAGCATATTTAGGTTGATTCCGTCAACACCCAAGGCATTACTTATGATACCCTCAAAAAATCCCATAACATTGTGGCAAGTTATTTGGGAGAATGTGAATTGTCTGGCTTGCTGGCTGGTGTTATGTTTTTCCAGCAGCTTCATTTGTAACTCAGACTTAACAATGGTACGTAAACTAGAAAAATACTTATTTATGTAATCAACGTACTGCAGATGGCCAGGTAACTCTTTCAAGTTGCTGCTGATAATGCTAAGTCTCCGAAGACAGCTCCAGGTAGCTTTAGAATCTTTTTTTGACAGAATGAATTCCATATAGGCTTTTTTCCCCTATTGATAGCCTTCGCAACTTCATTTCGCATTTCTTTATAGAAAACCCACTTGCCTACCGATTTATTCTGCTTGTACACAATTCGTAGAAATGTTCCCAGCACTAATACCGGTATTAGACTATAGAAGATCTTTGACAAAGGTATTGTATAAAATATTTTAGTAGGATTTATTTGAAGACATTTTGTTTACAAATTTTGATAACCGTATTATACTACATAAAAGCTTTTACAATATTTTTAGTTTATCATTAGGTACGATGGATGAGAATCGGTTTGTTGCTTGTGCTGCTGCAATAAGTGCAATTATGACGGTGTGTTTATTGTTAAAAAAGAACAAAAAGAAACGACGCCTTTGGGTGAGGCCCTGGATTGCTCGACGTGAACAACAAGGAATTCATCATACCTTGCTTCGAGAACTACAATTTGAAGATTTAAAAAGTTACATCAACTATTTAAGAATGGATGAAGATAGCTTCAAATTTATAGCGTCGAAGATATCACCATTAATTTCCAAACAAAACACACACTTGAGAAATTGTATTAGCGTAGAGGAACGTCTTATGGTGACACTTCGTTTTCTAGCAACAGGGGAGAGTTATAGAAGTCTACAATATAGCAGCCGTATACCACAATGCACACTGTCAGGCATAATCCCAGAGACATGTGAAGCTATTTACCAAGCGTTAAAGGGAGATTTTCTGAAGGTAAATATAAAGATATATAAAAGAACGTACACATATGGTTTTTATTACAAATATATTTTGTTAGTACTAGAAATAAAAATGAAAATGACAATTCATATTTGCACAAAACTTTTTAAACATTATTAGAAATTATAAAACTCACGGTGAAACAAAAAAAGTTTAGTTTAATTGAGAAAAACATGCAGGATCATAATCAGATCTTGTTATATTAGCCATATGTATTGCATTTTCAACTACATCCTCTGAAGTATTACCATCTGCTTGCATTTGATTATCTGGATTAATTTGCAGAATATTACAAGCACCTGGTGTCTGGGTTGTTAATATCCATTGATTTGAAGATGATTGGGATGAAACAGGGCTAGGTAGCAGAGTTGGTTGATCAATCATATCCCAGGCCTCCATTAAAACCATCTGAATTTTTCTTTTAGTTTTCCGTACTGTATACTCGTTGCTTGCACCTTGAATATCACGTAGCTCAGCCACTACAAACTGACCAAATGTCTCTAAAGAATCTTGTGTTGCTTTAGAAACTGATCTCTCTCTAGCTATTTTTGACATTTCCTCCATTGTATTTGCTGCCTTAGTTAATACAGAATTGTGCGAAAATTTTTGTATTTTTCTGATTTTTGGAGGTAATACTGAGCTTTCTTTAATTTTCATTTAACCTTATACTTAGGTTACTGTTCGTATCTTGATCCTGGAAAAAAAATTAATTATAATTCAACAGTTAAGCCTTATATTTAAAATTTTTATTTTATAGGTACCCAGAACCGAGAAAGAATGGTTAGATATTGCAAAGGACTTTGAAGATAAATGGAATGTGTTCAATACAATCGGGGCGATGGATGGAAAACATGTACGCATTACCTGTCCAGATAAAGGAGGATCCCATCATTTTAATTATAAATCTTATCATAGCATTATTTTGTTCGCACTTACGGATGCCAACTATAAATTTATCTACATAGATGTGGGGACAAATGGTCGAATTGGTGATAGTGGCGTGTATAATAAAAGCAAACTTAAAAAATGCCTTGCAGATAACTCTATTTTGAACATACCTGCTGGTAAAAATCTTCCGGGCGCTAATATTGCTACACCTTATGTTGTCTTGGCAGACGACGCCTTTCCACTAAGTTACAATGTTATGAAACCTTACCCATTAAAAAATATAACCAGAGAAGAAAAGATTTATAACTACCGATTGTCTCGCGGAAGAAGAATTGTTGAAAGTAGTTTTGGAATATTGGCAAGCCGGTTCAGGGTATTTTTAACTACAATCAATTTATGCCCTGAAAAAGTCACAAAGATTGTACTTGCAGCCTGTACCATACATAATTTGTTGATTGACCGAAGAAAACATCTGTATACTTGCCATGAGATTATTTCTAGAAGTAGGAAAGGACACACATTTTTAGACGTTTTAAGTCATGAAGAACTTCAAGAATTGCAAACTCTAACCACTCAAACTCGTACTGTAGGGAATCGCCATGGTCGCGAAATAAGGGAAAATTTTAAAATATTTTATAATGGTGCTGGAAAAGTACCATGGCAAGAAGAATATGCTTAATTTTACTATTCTGTATTGGCTTACATCATCTGGAGGTGCAATAATATTTGTAGTGGAACTAGTGGATTGAGACTCATTAGGCGATAGTAGCGATTCATCTAAATTAGACTGGGATTGGTCTGGATCTGTAGATTTATCTAAAAATGTTAGCAGAGGAAACCAGTATACTGTTGGTTTGTACAGGTCGTCACTTCTCGCTCCGCTTTTTTTGCTACGCAGGACCTGCAAAAAATATTATGTACAATAATTAGTTGTATTTCCATAAGTATTTGTGTGATGTAAACAAAAAAGAATAAATAAAGATATTTATAATGACTTACCTTCATTTTTTCGGCCAAATATTGACTTCTTAAACCATTTAATTTCTTTTTAACATCTTCTACAGTGCAACCCTCACTGACAGTGTTTACAGTTTCAGCTATTGATCTATAGGCATCCAATCTTTTATTTCTGTTTTTATAATTAATATTTTTACTGTCGTATAACAATTCAAATGCCTCATATTCAGAAATTAATAATTTTGTAGCAGTAATTGACCAGACAAACTTGCCTTCCGCCATCTTTGCTAAATATTTTATAAAATTTACTCACTGTCGTCAATTTTTATAAAAGATATTTTATAAAAGAAATATTTTGTTAAAAGATGGTATATTACACCGTAAAATATTTCATAAAACTTGTTTTATATAACTTCTTTGTCAAAGATCTTTTACAGTCTAATACCGGCCTAAAGAGTGCGCAGCCCATGTCGCAAGTTGACTCATCTTGCCGTTCGCCGCAGCCAGTCAGTCAGTCGCGGGTGTGGCAGCTCGGCAGTTAGACGACAGCCATCAGAGAGAACGTAACGTAAAGGAGAGGTAGCCAGAGACCAGAGACGCGGCTTTTTATTATTCCGTTTTGAGGGTAAATATACAGGTTAGCGTATGATGTAGGGAATATGTTTAATAGGTGCATAAAATCTCCGGGGTTGCAAAGTAAACAGGGCAAAGAAAAAAATTAAATACATTTTTTGTTTCGGAAAATCGAATTTATTCTTTTCAAAATAGTCTCCTTCAGAGTTTATACAGCGATTTGCACGGGTTGCAAAAGGTTTGCGAATGTAGATTCTTAGCTCACTAACCGGGATGTCCTTAACAATACGAGCCCCTTCCCACTTCAGTTGGCCCAACTATTGAAATCTTAGGTTTTTTCTTATCAAACACAAATAATAAAAATGTAGCAGGGTGTTATAGGTTTAAAATATTAACAATGAATATTTTGATAATGTGTAGTAGAAAACAACAACTTTATCACTCCCTAATCAAATTTGCAGCATAAAAATAACACATGTTGCAATTACAGCATATCAACCTATTTTCATTTCAATGCAAAATAAGTCTATAACGCATAGGTGGCTCTGAAAAATAAAAGCCATGACAATTGATTTTATTAATCACAGCTGTCAGAATACGTTTAAAATGGTTTTGTGTAGTTAAGGTTTTCAAAATGGGTAGAGGAAAAATTATTAGTGAGAAAATTCGGTTAAATTTTTTAATTCTGGGAAATCAAACTCAGAAATTGCAACTTTGTTAGACTTATCGCGGTACATTGTGAGCAATATTGTTAGAAGATATAACGTAACTGGTTCAGTTAATATTAAGCCACGATATGTGAAAAAAGTAATATCACAAATGCCGACCGAAGAGCATTAAGAACAATAATCGTGAAAAACAGGCGTGCCAATTATTTTCAATTAAGTGCTCTGTGGAGTGACGCTGTTGGAAGGAGAATTTCGAAGTCCACAACTCATAGAGAGGCCCACAAATTGGGATTTAGCACTTGCAAGGTAAGTTTTTATAAAAAAAAAGTGAAGTAAAAACCCTAAAGTTGCACAACTTGTTTATAGGCCAAAGAAAAGCCACTATTAACTCAACTGCAAAAGAAAAATCGGCTTAGATGGGCTACAGAACATAGATAATGGACACCTCAACAATGGTGTGGAATACAATGGAGTGATGAGGCCCGATTCGAAGTTTGTGTTGGTGACAGTCGCAGTAGAGTTATTCGCAAAAAAATGAAGCATTCCATGTTGACTGTCTGAAGAGAAAAGTGAAATTTTAAGCATCCAATATGGTCTGGGGCAGAGTATCATCAAAAGGAGTAGGAAAACTTCATTTTATTGATGGAAATGTGGATACAAATATTTGGCAATTTTAGAAGAATCGCTTTTACCAGTGATGGAAGAATGTTTGACATCCGGCCAAGATTTTGTGTTTCAGCAAGATGGTGCAGCGTGCCATACCTCAAAAAAGGCTATAAAATGGATGGAAGAAAATAATGTACCACTTTTGAAATGGGTTTCTAGCAGTGCAGATCTGACACCTATTGAAACTTTGTGGTACGAGATGAAAAAGGTTCTACGACAACATCCTGCTCGTACAATCACCGAACTGAGACAAAAATATGGGATTGTTTTACACCAAATTTTTGCCAAAACTTGGTTAACACTATGCCCCAAAGAATTTCAGCCGTAATAAAAAATGAAGGTGATGTTGCCCAATGGTAATCTTTCAATTGTTGCTTTGTTAAATTCGCGCATTTATCCGCACATTGTTTATTTGTTCAGATGTTCTATTAGTTATAGGTCTAAGTGATTTCAAATATGTATTTTTTACGATTAGAGTGTATCTAAAATGTTTTTGAGAAAATAAATTGTTTTAGAAGTAAATAGTTTCGTCATGTTCAGTTTATAAAGGCATATTTTGGTACAAATCTTGAAGTGGGCCAACTGAAGTGGGAAGGGGCTCGTAGTCGTTGACGCTTTTTGGATGGCCGCTACGAAGGCTTACCGCAGACCTTTCATTACCAAATGTAGTTTACCGAACAGAAAATAGTCACATGATGCAATATCAGGAGAATATTGGGAATGGTTGATGGTTAAAATGCCATTTTGTAAAAAAATCGGACACAAGCGTCGATCGATCACCAAGATAAAACACAGCTTAAACCGTTTGACCTGGTGGAACGAATTCTTTGTAAATAATTCTTTTCGAATCGTAAAACCCCACGTTTCGTCACCAGTCACAATATTGCCCAATTTTTGTCTTTTTTGGCCTCTTTAATGATGTCTCTCGAATTGTTCTATTCGAAGCAATTTTTTGTCATCCGTGAGCTTGTGCCAAAATTCTTGATCAAAATCCGATGGATTGAATCTCTGGATATATTTAATTCCATTTCTATGTATCTCAATGAATATTTTGGATAATTTTTGATCAATTTTCGACGGTTTCTGGCGTAATCACAAAATTTGGCTGGCCAAAATGTTCGTCGTTAGCGTCTCACGACACTCTTTGAACCGTGTAAACCACTTGCATCAACATCTGACGCGTTTCGGTAAATGTTTTACCAAGTTTAACACAGAACTTATTATTGGATCTTTGTTCGATGTTCATTTTTCGACCGATGCTAAAAAAGTCACTGTCACTTTGAGCGCGATAATTCCGCGTGAAGTGGTTCGATGGTCATGAAATTTTAACATGGAATCAATGAAAGATGTACCTATCCAACGCTAGTCCGATAAAAGATGGCACCACTTGTATCGGATATCTTTTAAAAGTCCTGTTTACTTTGTGACACGTTGTATTAACGCCAAAAATTTGAGATAAACTGTCCCTCACCCCCTACATCCTGCAACCCCCAATTTTTAACACATACTAATTTTTTTCTGAAAATGATAACGAGCTTCTAAAACGCAAAAAACAAAGATTGAGCAATTTTTATTTTTTTAGTCGCCACTGGATCGATTTTCAAAAACCACAAATCTTTTCCGTTCTTGACTTTGTGTGGAGTTTTCATCCAAATCCGAGCAGTAATTTCCTAGTTATAGGCCGTCCAAGGATTAGCAGACAAACGCAAATAAGTGACATAGTATGTCATTTATAAGTTTTTTGCAATCACAATACTTCCTCGCCAGAGTGTGTGGGAAGTTAAACAATCTTACTGTGCAGATGTTACTTTCCACTTAAGCAACATTTTCATAGATGCAAACACATAATTTTACTTGTCAATCAGACGAGTCAATCTAGGAAAGTGAAAAAATACTTATAAAATAAAAAAATCATTTGGCAGGTCTAAGAAATTGAACAAACTTACTTTGCTGATGTTCTCACAGTCCCTCATAAGGAAGAAAAACGCGTTTTCATGACATGGTTCGACGGCCTGACTGACGTCGATGAAGTAGCAGTGTTTGTTGTGGTAAAGGATATTGTATTCTGACAAATCAGCATGAATCAAGTTGGCGTTTTGATATAAAGTCCGCATGGATTCGATCACCTGCAAAAAATCGAAAAATATTTCAGTTCATTAAATTCATAGCGCATCTCCATAAACGCATTCAAGCGCAAGCAATTTAATATTTGCTATTCACCTCTTTGTAAGCTCGCTTAGCGTCATCCTCGTCAAGATCTGCGTCTTTCAATTTTGGTGCTGGCACATTGTTCTCACCAATAAAGGACATGATCAAGACATGATTTTTTAGTTTAACAACTTGTGGACACCTGAGCCCCACTTTTTGCATCCTGCTCAGGTTGGCCATCTCTTTTTCTGCCCACAGATGGACTATTTTCCTCGTAGTAGTCTGTTTACCCATACGATCCTTAAAGCGCCGATCATCCTTAATGTACTTGTCACGATCTTTAAACTCGGATAGTACCGTCTTGAACACCTGCAAGCAACAGACTCTATTGAAATCCGTAAAATATGTTATTACGTTCCGGCCTCATCTCCTAAATATAACAGGTGTAGTACCCCGTTTCCCAGCCAAACCCACGAATTCAAAACGTGCACGGAACGAAGAAATGCGGCTCACCGTGCCCCCCCACCTTCCTCCTCTTACAGCCCCTTTTTACGTTTTCAGCAGGGTCTAGGTGCCAAACATAAGAACAGCACCTCATACCAGCAATCGCTGAACACAAATATTAGACAACTGTAGCAAAAGTGGGCCGACAATCATGATGTGCATTGTCGACGGGACTGGCAGACTATGCATGATACGACGTTTGGGATACCGTTCCGACACTGGACTAGGTTGCTTTGGATAGCAACCTGGACCTGGCTTGTGATAGTCAGCTCCACCAAAAAGACGAACGATAACGTTTGAGGTAACGTTGAGACATTAGACTCGGTTGCTTGGGATAACAACGTGGACCTGGCTTAGTCTGCTCCACACCAAGGACAAACAAAGACGTTTGGGATAACCATTCAACAATCTACGGATAAAGTAGCGTAAAATACATAAAACAAAAAGTTCACAGCTATAGTTTGTTAACTGTTCCACCTAGGATGATACACTTTGGCCTATTGACTGGATAGCATTAACCAAACTTCCTGATACACTGTTCCAAGGGTTGAATATGCGATTGGAGAGGAACCACGGCCGGATGTTTTATCTAAGGGTTCAATGGTATTAACATAAACAGGAAATGTGTTTTACCTTGATGGCACATTCCTTGGGCAAGGCAGTGTCAGGTGTAGTATCAGGACAGCAGGGGTCAGTCTCTGCATGGAGTACCACCGCCTCTTTTCCAATGCTAACCACTCCATCTACTCTCTCTAACAATTGTTTGTTGATCAACTTGTAAATAAGAAGACGAGTGTGCTCATCCATACCAAATTCAGCAGTAGCATGGTCTTCCTTCCTGTCATGGATTTTATAGCGGCGAGCTTGCTCTTTAAATGAGTACATTTTTAGACTGTGAACAAAAAACATTATATGTTCGTACTCTACTGCATCCAGTTATCCAAATCGAATATTTTTCTCAGATGCTCCAATTTGATGAGATGCAGATTTAAAAATGGAGTGGCATGGTACTTAGGGCCATATGACACAATATGGAAATTGAAATCAAATTTTTAAAGGACAACTGTCAGCTAGGCAAAAGTAAGTGAGGTTATGACTAACTGAGCATTCTGCAACCCCACATTCATATGGTCTTTTTCAAGAGTCACCATTATGTTTTGACACCTAATGAGGAGCACATGACATCTCTGTACTATTAAGAATACTGAATTGGAAGTGAATAAGATAAATGGTGCTAGATAATCAGTTGTTATTTGCTGACATGTTTGACATAATGGAGACTTGTGGAACAAACCATATCCACACTTGCCAAATTCAAACATTTGTAGGTGATAACTGTCATCATATTGTCCAGTTTGTCAATTTGCACACAATTTTTATATCAGTTCATACAGACCCCAGATCCATCTACTGGTTGGTTAATTGAAGAGAAAGCTGAGGCTATCTCAGGCAACTAATTCTCATTTATTTTTTAGCAGGTGAAAGCACAAACAAAAAGATTACTATACCTATTGAAAACCTTATTGGAAATTTTCAAGTCAAAGTTTTCCCCATCTCCAGTTTGAAATTCTGGTGGAAAAGACATCAGTTTGCAGGCATTTTTCCTTCCACTCATGGTCATGTCATGTTTTGTTACTACATTCCCATTCTGCTCAACCTTGTATCCACATGGTGGAATTGAGGCATACTCTTTCTCCAAATGTTCAAAACGATCCCAGAATTTTCTCTCACTAACATCTATGATTTCTTCTTCTTCTGTATCACTCTCAAAATCTATATCAATCACACAAATCTATGAGTTGTGGACATTCTTGTGCCGTATGTTAATGTACAAATTCAGTTTTTTTTGATTGCTTCTTAAAAATACTTGCTGGATTTAACTTGTTTTCAGAAACTCAATAACATAAGGAACAATACGTGAGACGGAAATGTACCTGTTTTAATAATTACTCATACTTGGTGATAGATAATGATTCAGGACATAAATGAAACTTTCCAAATTTCAATATAAAAAAATATAGTTGACTGACTCAGCAGTACTACTTTCTACACAAGCTATATCAAATTATCAATAAACCTGTTACAGATGGGAATTAAAGACTCTTGATTTCAAGTAAATAATATATAATGTATATATATATATACCAAAACGTTAATAACATTTGGCAACAATCTCACATAAGACTGTAAGTTAATTTATAATCATTTTGCACAATAGTTGCTGTTTCTTCTCAATGTATTGCAGCTCCTGATGAAGATGGTGAAGTCCATTGAAAGCTAGAGATTAATAAAGTATAAAGAGTCATATTTGCTTGAATTTTGTTGAAGTACCCAACAAAAGGCGGAAGCTTTATTTTTTCATCAAACTGGTCTAAACGACAATGACATCATTATACATATATACAGGGTGACTTTGAAGATGAGTCATTAATTTTCAGATAATGATTGTAGAAGGAAGATAAACCAAAATATGTGTGTAAAAATAGAAAAAAATTAAAAAAAAATGTTACCCTGTGTGGGCATGTGTAACTACTTTTGTAGTTTCACACGTGCATTCATTTCGGGCCTGATGAAGCCAACCAGCAGAAATACGTATCGCTCGGGTTACCTATCCTATTTTCTGCTCGAATTCACTTTCCTCCTTTTTGCGGATTTTACCCATTATTTTCCTACCTGTTGTTATATACTTTTCTCCGCATGATCATATTCTCTTTGTAGATCCTTTGGGCTTGAAGTACCACAGCAAGTGGCTATAACCAGCCGCGTGGTGGTGGTTAGACGTATCCTTGAAAATTCGAGGTCGTATAGCCATTTTATACTACAATGTGTAGGTTGGCTCTTATTGTGGACTTCGTGTGTCGTTTTTTCCCCTCCAACTTCGTTTCCTCAGGTTACACCCGTATCCGGATGTGTGGGCATGTGTATCTACTTTTGTAGTTTCATATGTGCATTCATTTCGGGCCTGATGAAGCCAACTAGCAGAAATACGTATTGCTCGGGTTACCTATCCTATTTTCTGCTTGAATCCACTTTCCTCCTTTTTGCGGATTTTACCCATTATTTTCCTACCTGTTGTTATATACTTTTCTCAGCATGATCATATTCTCTTTATATATATATATATGTATGTATTTGTGGCATATCAACAAAAGAATGTGCAGATTTAATATTTTTTAGGCTGTATAAAACATCTTCAACCATACCATGTGGACAAATGAATATAAGGACGTTCATAACTTTTTTGCAAAAATTATTTATAATATAAGCTGACTAAAATTAATGTTAAAAAGCCTATATAAGTTGATTTTTATTAAGAGTATTTTATATGCATGCAAATAATAGCTGTACCAGGGTACTAATGATAATTATATTGTGGGTATGGTTCGAAGTTTAAAAACACATTTTGATTGAGAACTCAGAATCTAGAAGTGGTACATTTCTGTAGCCCAAAATCAATATAAAGACATTGTAGGTGTCAAACATTTATAAAACAAAATTACCTGGGTTTAAAGGGGTCCTCTTATAGTTTTCAAATGATACAGACACCTTTGAGCCTCCATTATATTTTCTCTCTGTGAGTGCCAAATACTCATCATACTCTTTATCAAACTGGATTTGTAACATCTTCGCTATCATCTCATCATCATCTACTGAAACCGAACAGCTTGGTAGTAAATTTTCTACTGAAGTGATAGCCTCTTGCTCGGCTTCTGTAGTATCGAGGGCAGATGCCTGTAGCTTTTTGTACTCCTTTTCTTGCATTTCCCTTGCGAGTTCTTCAGACATGACGTCAGTTAGGTTTACAGGTTCGGGTTTTTCGATTTTTGCCCACGGACACGACATGATTTATTTATGTGTTTCTAATACTAAGTACTTACTAATAATATCACAAGTTAAGTTAATTGCTTCTTGCTGGTATATATAAATGAGAAATTTGCAAAGAAAGTTCAAAGTTGTGGTATTACGTTTTATTTTTTGGGATGGATGACAGATAACTGTGATCGTGACGTTTAAGGAGGCACATAACAAACGTCAATCAAATCCAAGGGAATAACCAAAATTTCTGTGTTATGTGCCGCGGTTATAATATGGTTCAAGATTACACACGGGTTGATGACGTCTGTTACACGAATCGCTTGAACGCGTTGGTTTTAACCGCGGTTTTGTTGCAAGTTGTTTATTTTAGAAAAGCGCGTATATAATCTCTGATTATTTTTATTATCACTTAATAATCGGTGCTTTTTCGTCTACAACTGTATATGGAAAGTTTAAATAAGAAACCTTTCATAATGAATATTAGGGAGAAATGTTTTTTTCAGATTTTTTTTTAATGATATGGTACATGGCTTTGTAGCTGTGATAACATTCAATTCTCTAAATTTTTCCGCATGTCAAAGAAAACATTTATTGATTCAGCAGAAATGATGAAAAAAGAAATTAGCAAAACCGTATACAGGTGGATATCATTTAGTGAGTTTATATGGCCATATTTTAATATTATTGTGGTATATGGCTACACAGGATACGTTGTTAAACATAGGAACTACATTTAAAGTGTCCCCAACAACCGTAATGAGTATAACTAATAAGGTGCTCCACTTTATGGTAAAACTGAAGTCAGCCTGTATCATTTTTCTCAAAAATGAAGCTGAAGTACAATAACAATATCCAATACCCGGCAAAATTCTAACTTGTCACATTTCAAATAATAACCAGAAATATAAAACTACTCTTGAGTTGGGTAAATACCACAGTTTATTATAACCAAACTGGTAACTACACTCGCTTGAACGGATTGGTAAATACCAACCCAAAATGGTAAATACCATTTCCATTTGGTTATCCGCTTGAATTTCATTCATAATTCATCAAACGTGACATCAGTGTTGTGACGTGGGTGTCAAGTGTCTCCAAATTAGGTCTACTTCCAACTCTTCCGAGGGAAACAGGATACCTGTGCAGGTGAGCAGAAATGTCGAAAAACAAAGTTTGACAGTTTTTTGTTTGTTTTTCGACCATAACTCCGCCGCCATTGTACCGATTTTCAAAAACTTTAGAGCTTTATCGTCATTTTCATAGTAGTATCCTAGGATCAAAGTTTCATCAAAATCCTGATAGTATTTTCAGAGTTATCATTTATTAAATCTTTTTCGTTAGTTAAGAAATGCAAGTCAATATATTTCTCAACTAGTCTTGCATTTCAACAGGACATTATAATGAACAACTGTAAGCATTTGGTAACAGTTATAATTTACAAAAATACATATCTTAGGCCAGCCATAACTCACCTGCGAGACGTACAAAATATTAGTAAAATGAAAAAAAATGTATGGCAGTCTATGCTTTGTATGTTCCACTAATTTAATTCATTCTCCTCAAAAGTTAGTTACCGAACACATAAAACTACTTCACCACAGTCACAGCCAACAAATAAATGTTTTTCGCCGCTACTGGGTCAAACTTAAAGCACTCAAAAATCAAATTCAAGCGGATAACCAAATGGAAATGGTATTTACCATTTTGGGTTGGTATTTACCAATCCGTTCAAGCGAATAATCAATTTCAAGCGGATAACCAAATGCCATGGTTCCATCATTAAAAAAAAAATCTGAAAAAACATTTCTTCCATGAATATTATGAAAGGTTTCTTATTTAAACTTTCCATATACAGTTGTAGACGAAAAAGCACCGATTTTTAAGTGATAATAAAAATAATCAGAGATTATATACGCGCTTTTCTAAAATAAACAACTTGCAACAAAACCGCGGTTAAAACCAACGCGTTCAAGCGATTCGTGCAACTGACTTCATCAACCCGTGTGTCATCTTGAACCATTTTATAACCGCGGCACATAACACAGAAATTTTGGTTATTCGCTTGGATTTGATTAAATACATGACATCTTGTGTGGGAGCGTAACGTTGTAACGTGTAACGTCCTTTGACGCGGGTCAAATTTACCGACAAGAGCCCGAACGTGGCATGTGGCGAACGTTGGACACAAGTAATCCGTCAGCGCTCTCCCATACGATGCGGCGAACGGCCATGTTCCAACGTTATAAGGGATTCGCCACATCATGTGGAAGCGCTTTAATCTGTCCAGCCTAACACGTGCAAAAAAGTCAATTTAGGGTTTTAACGAGATGAGTCAAAAATGTCAATCTCACTATCACTTAACTTATCTTTCATGCCTCTACTGTCTACTAGTCTATGCTCTACGTCAATTTGACCACCATCAATTTCCATTTGAATGGCGCGTAATTTGAATCCAAATATTCCTTTTTATTATTTTGTCAACTAGAATTTTTGATCATATTTACAAAATTAGTTTAAACCCCAGATGTTTAAATTTGGATCATATGAAGTTTTTAACCCATCATAATTGCGAATCAACAATCATATAACCTTCACTCTCCAGTCAAGTTTTTGTCACGATTGCTGATTTCACAAGATCGGTACATCTTTTTTAGCAAAAAAAAGAGATAAAAACCTCAAAATACGGCAGACAGTTTTGTTTACCTGCATTTTGAACTTTACACTCTAGAAAAGTTTATACAGATAAGTGGACTTTGATCTGATCACTGCCCTCTTGGATTAGTACGAGACGGAATTGTTGCAGTCTTCTTGAATAGCTTCTGGGAATAAAAGAGAACGGTAAAATGAATCCAACTTTTAACATTATCAAAAGGAGCCTCTCCACTTCAACTTCTAGAAATGCAATCAGTAACATCACAGTAATCGGAGGTGGATTAATGGGATCAGGTATTGCACAGGTATGTTATTTGCAGCCCTATCCAGACTGGATTCATATAATCTATAAAAGGCAGCTCAATGAGTCCAAATCATTGATCAAAATAACAGCTCCAGGTCCAAGTGACAAAATTAACAACATACTTTGGGTCAGGCCTATATCATGAGGCAAAGCAGGGCAACAAATCTGAACCTCCAACTTTAATTTTCACACTTATTGTGAAAGCAAGTTCCAAAACCTAAGAACAGTTTAAATGATATCTTTGGAGGCCCCTACATATAACAGTATCTTTTGGTCACTTTGGGGTCCATAAAATGTTTGCCATGGACCTCACAATTACTACCAAAAACTTTTAGCAATATCATTTTACTTGAAGAAACTAAATGGGTTAAATTTTACAAACAAGCTTTATATGAATTATTTTTATAGTATTTTACGATAACTTCAAAATAATTCAATTGTTGCTCTCCTATCATTTGGTTGCAAATTTGCAACCTATTGTTATTTTCGAGAATTGTGAACAAAGAACTGTTTGAAAATGGTGTTTATAAAACTACTGTTTACTTTTTTATATATATTATGTAAATGATTAATATTATTACAGGTAGCTGCAGCAACTGGTCTGAATGTAACCTTAGTCGAGGTGAATGCTGATTTGTTGAAAAAGGCAGAAGAAAGAATAGCAGACAGCTTAGGAAGAGTTGCTAAAAAGCAGTATAAAGATGATAAAAGTGCTGCTGCTAAATTTGTTGATGAAACTAGATCGAGAATCAAAGGAAACACAAATCCAGAAGATGCTGTGAAGGATTCCGATTTAGTTGTTGAGGCAATTGTTGAAAAACTGGAGGTAACTTTCCAATACCAATAAAATCCGTTAATATTTCCAGCTCTTATTGAAAAAGTTCATCATATTCATAAATAATATAGTGCAATAAAAGCCATATAACCGCAGTATTTTGTCACTGTTATGAGAGCAAGTAACATTCAGATAACAACAAAAAAATATAGATATTAAAATTTTTATGTATATTTAAGTGAGAGTTTATTGATTATGTACCAATGAATATTGTAAATATTTACTTAAATGAACTATTTATATGCAAACGAAAGGCAGTGTTATATTTTCCTAAACTAATCAAAACTTTACTTGCACTATAATTTTAGAGATCTCCTGCTGATTGGGTAGTTGAACTATGTCAATTTTTCAGAGAAATTTTAGATGTTGTAGTATGTATCTGCAACATTCTTTTTTTATGTGAACATTCTTCATAAGAGTGATTGACTGAACAACAGGTATGGTTTTAGGTTAAACATGATCTGTTCAAGAAACTGGACAAGGCTGCCCCAGAAAAAACAATATTTGCCTCAAACACCTCATCACTATCTATTGGTGATATTGCCTCAGTTACAAATCGCAAAGATAGATTTGGGGGTCTGCATTTTTTTAATCCAGTTCCTGTAATGAAGCTTCTGGAAGTTATTAGGACCTCTGAGACATCACAAGACACATACACTGCCATGATGGAGTGGGGAAAATCTATAGGGAAGGTAAAAATTTGTGGCTTAGGGCAGTATGGTCAGTCGCTCCTACAATATTGTAGGTCGCCTTTATGGCTTTCTTGATTCTGATAGTATTTTCTCTCCTTCAAAAACGCTGGAGTATTTACAGATTTCTACCGTTCTGTGTCACGGTTAGCGCCGCCCTATTGAAGGCTGTTTTTTTTTAATTAGAAGAGATTTCAGGCTGATATAACAGATTATATAAATCAAAATCATGAACAATTTGATGCAAATAGGTATTTGTAACATAACCTCAAAATAGAGCACTGTCACGGAACAGTAGAAAACTATGAAAATTGTAGGACGCCTTTATGGCCCGCTTAATTTTCAAAGTCTTTTTTGTCCTTCAGAAACGCTGGGGTATTTCTAGAATTCTACTGTTCCGTCTCAGCGTCAGGGCTCTCTTATTGTGAGGTTATGTTATCTTTTCGTATGTTAAGAGATTTCAGCCTGATAAAACAGATGATAAAAATCAAGTTTTATCAGCCTATTCTTGGAATGCAAAAAGAAAACATTACCTCAAAATAGAGCGCTGACACGGAACAGTAGAAATCTAGAAAAATCCCTGCCTTTCTGAAGGACAGGACATACTATGAAAATCAAGGAGGCGATAAAGATGCCATACAATAATTGTATGAACGTCTGACGATACGGCACTTAATATGAAATATAAACATCTTATATTGTCAGAAAAACTGTCAAATAAATATTGGCTAAGCAGTATCTCACATTTTACTTTCACTTTTAGGTTTGCATTACTTGTAAAGATACTCCTGGATTTGTTGTCAACAGGTTGTTGGTACCTTACCTTGCAGAAGCCATAAGAATGATGGAGAGAGGTATATGATTAATGTGTAGTTCTTATTGAATATAAATTTGGGGTGCATGGAGGGACCAAGCACATTATTTTGCATTGTTTATCGATATATTATCACGCTAAATAGATAGAGCCAGCAAAGAAATATCTTTCAGACATTGATGACAGCTTGTGATGACATCATCAACTGTTACAGACTTCTGTGAAAACAAAGTTTAACTCACCCCTGGAACGTTCCTTAACCCATTAGTACCCAAATTAACATTTTTTCAGTTTTGTTCACAAAACCGGTTTTCTTTGGGCAATATATCAAACTGGATTATGAAATGGCAGGAATTTCTGAGATCGCTCAGAATAGGGTGTTTACATATAATGTAACACTAGGAGCTTACGAGATAAAAAAAGAAAATGCAACTTTATTAGTTCTATGTGTATTTATTCAAATAAACGTAATTCATATGGTCAGCTTATAAACCGTTTTGTGTGGTAGGAACAAAAACAGTCGATGCACAGGCCTACGTTACACTTTTTACATTGAGTCCTCGTTGAGCTCTTGCAAAGGTTCTCGGCACAACGTCTTCTTTTGTCGTTAGGAATTTTTTCCACAAGGTGATCCATTCTATCATATCTAACGTCATCGACCACCGCTTGTACATAGGAAGATAGCGATGCAACTCTTCCACCGCCTTTAGGTGCTAGTGAGTACTTTTTCAGATAAACTTGTGCGACGGTCCTTCTAAAGTTTATTTGAGGGATTTGAGATTTGTTCGCTTTTCTATATAAACACCATGCATTGTTGACTGCAACATCAAGAAGCCATGTAAATAGCGACCAGTACCATTTCCTGTTTCTGATTTGACCGATGTTTTGATCCATCCGATCAGTACCACCCATTTTTTTGTTATACTCAGCAGGTAGTGCCGGCCGACTTACTTGTATGTGCTTCTTTTCCTTCTGCGAATATCGTTTGACGTTTGTCGCAGGAGTAACGCCATATCTGTTTGTAGCAACAGAAACAACAGAGTTGTCGACCCACTTTGCTACTAGTATACCATCAAGTCCTACTGATTACATTTTCAATATACCCCCTTTCCTTTTTCTGCAGATGTTTCTTATCCAATAATGGACAGCCCTTAGGTATACGGTTATCTCTCATAGTCCCTGTTCCTCCATATCCTTTCAAGCGCAGGTACGACAACAAACTAAAGGAAGTGAATAAATTATCAAAATAAAATGAGAATGGAAAGGACTTGATATTATCGGGAGGCCCTTCTAGCATTTTCACCAAAGGTGCTGCCGCTTTTCCGAAGTTCCTTTCTATTACGCTATCAGGTGTAACCGATTTTCCTTGGTATATTTCAAAATCGACCAAATAGCCCATTGTGGTGTTCAAACACCAAATCTTATAGTCGAATCTTATAGGTTTGCCTCTCAAAAACTGTTTACAGCTATGTTTACCGTAATATTTGACCATGCTCTCATCAAATGATAGATCCTCTTCTGGAACAAAATACTTTCTACACCTGTCTTTTATTTTGTTTATAAACGGTCTGAGCTTGAAAAGTTTGTCATTCTTGTCAATACTCTCATTAGATTCCAAATGTAGAAACCTCAAAATTTGATCAAATCGGTTACGCCTCATAGAATTATAGACAAATTCATTTCTGATGTCAAGGCTTTGCTCCCAGTACATTCGCTTACTGGGCAGATCGTTATAACCGCTAATAAGTAATATACCGATGCTCTAGGAATAGTATTACGTCGTCGTCTATAAACATTTCAAATATATCTACAACTGATTTGTTTTCAAATGCTGAGTAATCTGCTTCAGGAAATGGCCGTTTGTTGTAAGTGAAGTCTCCCGAAATCCACTCCCGAGTATCAGAAGTCTTTGGGTATACCATATCAGCTGAGTTGAATCCTTTTTTGATGAAGAACCATCCCCATTAGAGTCTGTATATTCGGGATGAGTATCTTCTAACGTCACTCCTCCAGCAAATCTAACTTCAGCTTCTGCAAGTAACTGACGTTGGCTCAAATGGTCTAGGTCCCCTCCTTCGTCCTCGTCCCCAGAATCTACATTAGTTAGGACAGCAGGTTCCGGTGGCGCAATATAAATTGCCTCTACAGGGTTGTCTAAGTCATCATTTTCTCCAAAGACTATATCTATGGCTTCTTGAACAGTCACCCCCTTCTGTAGGATACCTGTAAGTCCCCTGAAAAAATGCTGTTGCGTAAAAAAGTACAAATATTCATAAGACTGATAATGACATAAAAGCAGCTAATATGACAACGCTATGTCCTAGCGTTACGTATATGTAACAGCAAAGTTGACGGTTTACTAACACAAGTATAAAACAAACAAGTTCACGTGGTAATGGCACAATACTTTACACCACATCTACAGATGCTACTTTTGCAACTCTATCAAATTTATGTTATGGAATCTAACAACTATACTTCTTATCGATGAAGTCCATTTTTGATGCCTATTCTTGCACTAACAAAATTTGGCGGAGCGATATTTGGAAACAACAACACGAGGCTTGATAAACACAACTAAATGAAACTCCTAGATCAACGCTTTTTGAGCGGGTGTAGATGTTAGCAGCCCAGCATTCACGTCACGCGTAAGAAGGGTTGCATTTCTAAGACTATTTTTCGTTACATAAATGTAGCGCTAGGAGCTAATGGGTTAAAGAAGCGTCATTGTTTCGCTGTTCCCAAGGAGAGATCATTCGTTTCCAAAGAAGTCTAAAGAAAGCTCTATAAAACTGACGTCATATTCAAATAGTCAAGCGGAATCGCACATAAATCTTCTGTTGGGAGACTCAGTGGATTACACAGTGGAGCAAGTTTGTCAACATTCAAGGCCATGGCTCGCACTGTGATGGAAAATTAGCGCAATTTTTTACTAAACTCAAATTTACACTCTAACAAAACCTGAATCAAAATTTGTTTTACGTTCACGTCTGAATTAATCCGTGTACCAAGTCGAAAATCATAGGTGTTTAAACTGATACCATTCTATTTTTCTTTGCTCTTCTACTTTTTTCTTCTCTTTGCCTTTGTCATTGTCTGGTTTCTGGGCAACTGGGACTGACAGATTCGACTAACGTACATTAGACAGTGACTAATGGGCAAAGGTCCTACGGACCATTCAGACTAACAAATCACGAATAGCTGTCATATCCAAAAGAACTTTTTCGAAATTTTTCGCTACTACAATACTTCCTCCCCAGAAGGCGTGGGAAGTAATAAGCTGTGCAAATAAGTGTCACTGTTAAATTTTCAGGCGACGCTTCGGCCCGCGATATCGACACGGCGATGAAGCTAGGTGCAGGCCACCCTATGGGTCCGCTCGAATTGGCTGATTACGTTGGACACGACACCAACTTGCACATTTTGGAGGGGTGGCACAAAAAATTCCCTGACAACCCACTCTTCGTGCCATGCGAATCCGAGAGGAAACTCGTACAAGAAGGCAAACTTGGCGTCAAAACTGGAGAGGGATATTACAAATACAATAAGTAAAATATACACAGCTTTATTCATTAATCTTGAGACAACTTGTCATCTTCATTTCATTGCATTATTTTGGAAGAGGTGGCATGTACAGGGTGTCCTGAAAGTTGGAACTTTCCCTTTCAGAGTCATCTGCGTTTGCACTACCAAAGCTAATTTACGACAAAACAACACCGAAAACTTAAAAAATAAATTGAAAAATAATCATTTGGTATTGAATTTCAAGTTCTGCCTTCACATGTTTTGTTTGTAAACACCGCTTGAAGTTATCGCTGTTCGATTCAAAAGCACGAGTTTGTTTACCTCTTCCTAAATTTGCGACATTTGGGGCTGTTTAGGTCTTCAACTGTGTTCAACCATCCGGCTTTTGCACGATATAAACATACATATACAGCTCTGATGGAAAAAACACCTAGGACGACGGAGACGTTCTAAATACACTCGCGAAGTATCAATAGGATCTGGAACATGCTCATTGTAAAGGAAAGTGTCAAGTTTGAGAACATCCTATAAGAATAATGCCAAGTCATATATTCAAGTCATATTCCAAAACAATGCGGAAACAAATCAAAACGTTAGCTATTGTCTGAAGACCGTCCAGTGTAACATTGGCTATATTGAAAGCTGATGAAAACATTGTGGAAAATATCAGATACGTCTACAGGCTATGGTGCCTAATATGTCTACTATTTTTAAGATGAAAGCAGTTTTTTTCACATTTGTATACCTTTTTCTAAACATGGAAAACGCATGATTTTCTCGTGATTCATAGCATTTCCAATGTATTTGTCAATAATATATTTATATATTTTTATTTAACTATTGAACAGGTCGAAAGAGATTCGGAATGTTTTTCTTTTCACTTTGTTGATCTACTGTGATTGTTCTAGCTTGAAATATTGGGTAGAAAATGTGTCCAAGACTGTCGCGAATAAAAAAGACTGGAGTACATTTTATAAACTCTGGAAGAATAAAATGAGAAAGCAAATACAGGTTTTATACATTTAAAAGTTTTTCATATTGTATTGCAACAATTATTGTTATTAAAGTATTGTGAAGTACCGGTTGTTTTTAAGTTTCTTTTCATGCTGTTAGGATCTAAAATGACGTGAAAAAACTTAAAACAATATCTACGTCTTTTGTTAGATGTAAACTGGAATATGCTGCACTGGTTTGGTCGCCAATTCATCAAAATGCAATATGCACGCAAAGCCTGAGATAAACTCGGTGACATCGGAAGTTGTACACTCGGAGAAAAATAATTTCTTCAACTTGATATTTTGGCAATGAGGTAGTTTAGACATGAAGAATGAATCGATAAAATTCTCACGAAATTTTATTGACGACAAGAAAAAAAATTAATAACGTGTTGGGCGACCCCGCAGCTGGCACCGACAAAATGCGATTTACGATATCTAAGCAACTTCAACTTCGTGGATTAGTTGTGGCAGAGTCTGTGGCGGATGGTGCAAAGTGGATAGTCTCTCCTCCCCACCATATCCCACATATGTTCGATGAGATTTAAATCCGGTGAACGGGGTGGCCACGGCAAAACATTAACGCCTGGTTAAAAAGGACGTGTGGACGACTCTCTAGATACGGCACTGAAGCGGTTTGTAGCAGCAGTCATATTACCTTGAACAAAGTGAAGGAGGATCGGGTACCATAGGCAATAGCCCCCCAAACTGTTACCGCAACAGTCCCGTGTACATGCCTCTCAACAGCAAATCCAATATCACGCCGCACTCCACGGCCGAATCTTACCTTTCTACGACCATCGTGCGCACCTAAACAGAATCGCGATTCGTCGCTGAAGGTGACATTATGCCATTCTGCCTCCCAATGTTGCCGTTCTCTGCTATAGTTCAAACGTTGGTGACTTGACTTCTTCTGCTCATCAGGGTAAGCCGGGGGCCTTTTGTTGCCCAAAAATTACTGAGGTTCTAACTGGCAGAAAAGCGAATCTCTTTAACAAAAAAATGCCAAAGATAGATTATACAGTTATGAAAATTGTATGAAAAAAGTAGTCAATGTAAAGAAATAAAGAATAAATCATAGTTTTAGATGTTCAGATTGTTAAAGAAGTGCTAATCTAGGTCTTTCGTGTTTGTGAATGGATGCAGGATCATATGTCACCGCATCCCTTATTAAAGGATTTGAATGTGAAATTGCACGTTCGTAACTTTTGCTTGGAATTTGCTTAATGGTGGTCCCCTAAAATACCCCCCTCCAAACATAACTTTTTGTGCATACTGCATCTTTAATAATAAACTTAAATGTTGACCAAACAAGAAAGGAATATCCAGGTCATGATGAATGGTCGCGTTAGATACATACCAAGGAGCATGCAGTATTGTTCGTAGAATTTTGTTTTGTATCACTTGCAATTTTGTAATGTGCGTCTTGGCAGCAAAGCACCAAGCTGCACATGCGTAGGCTATAGTTGGACGTATAATCGATTTGTATAATACTAGTTTATTAGTTTTGTAGTACCCTAGAGGATGGGGTATAAGTTACGAAATGTAATTAAAGCCTTTGTTCTGATCGATTCTACATGAGATTTCCAAGTTAGACATGCGTCGATTGTTAGTCCTAAATATTTTGTTTGATATGCCCATGGAATTCTTTGGTTCAAATAATTATTTCGGCTGGTAATGATTGTCGTCTTTTAGTGACTAAAATTGCCTGGGTTTTCCCAGCGTTCAATCTAATTCTCCAACGGAGACACCAATTCTGAAGCTGCTCTACAGTCTCTTGCAGTCCGTCTCCAATTTCTTGATTTGAGACGGACCTAGTTATCAGTGCTGCGTCATCAGCATACAGTAGTATGTCTGTGTGAGGTATATCCGCAGTGTATATAATGTATAGCGTCCTCATTTTTATCATTTTTTGTCCCTACTTCAAGAATTAAAGGCAGGTCTGAAGATCATATGATATTTTTGTTTCAATGTTATAAGTGCAGTTCCTGGATATTGCAAAATCGATAATGTCTGGCAGAAATTCATTATTATAAGGGTAGTGAGTAGGTTCCGTCGTACTATGTATGAGAAAGTCTCGAATCTCAAAGATAAGTTGTAGAGTTTTACCCCACCAGCGTTGAAAAAGACCAAAGGTTGGAATGTCGCAATAGAGTGTACGCATAGTCCGAACCGTCTCATATGACTAGTTGTGTAATCAAAATAAAAATAAAATCCTCCTCCTCAAATCATCTAAAGTGGTAGCCCTTGCTTGGGGGTAACCGTAAATGGGAGTCTTCACTTATCCCCACAAAAAGAAATCTGTAGGCGCCAAGTCAGGAGATCTCGCTGGCCGTTGTATGTTGCGTAGAGATCAGGCGTCTGGAAAAAAATGTTTTTAAAAATTGCGTTGCGAGCAGGACAGCCATCTTGTTGAAACCAAATTTCATCAAGGCTTCGTGCAGTCGGTATAATTTCGTGTTGAAGCAGTTCCAAATCATGCGAGGAGTTTAAGATACCATGAATGAAGGAAGGTCCAATAATGTGGTCCCCTAAAATACCCCCCTCCAAACATAACTTTTTGTGCATACTGCATCCTTAATAATAAACTTAAATGTTGACCAATACCTAAGATTTTGGGGATTATGATGTCCATGGAGAGTTAAGCTGGACGAACCAACAAGTCTATTGAAAATAAAAAAACTCAGGGTTCAAGTCTCACTTTGTATATTTGATGTATAAGCTAAATTACATATAAATATAATGCAGCCACACACAACATTGGACGGACGTACAATTGCACAAAAATAATTTACAAATCAAAAAATTTTTTCGAGCCATTAGCGATCACGCGTTAATTTTAACGTAAACTTTTGGCCTCTGAAACACTTTGATTCCTGCATCTATCCTCTTCAAATCCTCCTCAATGTCCATTTTCCGCTTTTTTACCCGTAAAGTGTCGCTGCGAACTGGCAGCGAGTTCAGTTCTTGGATGCGATCAGCATAACCTATTAAAAATTGGGACCATAACAATAAAAAAGATGCAAGAAAATGAGCTTTCCTTCATTATAATTATTTATTTTTGAGATATCATTGCACAAACCACAATCTATTGTACCGCTCGTTACGCTTTTAACAGAGAGAACACGACACATACATTAATCAAAAAGTATTAAGACGGTAATGCCCTAAGTTTGCCCGGCCAATGAAACCACGCATATTTGAAATTGGTCAGACAAACATGGGGAATTGTCGACATGAAAACCACAGGAAAGTTTCAGATGTTACAGTTTAAGACCTGAAGTACCCGACCCAACGAAGAAAACACAAAATTTTTGTAAAAAATGTATTTATTTTTCAACATAATCTCCTTTAAGCTCTATACACTTTTCCCAGCGATGTTCAATAAGTTCTATACCCTTTTTATAATAAGAACTGTCTTGCTCCTCAAAATAGCCATTAACTGCCGACATCACTTCTTCATCGTTGGAAAATCTTTGACCAACTGAGCCATTTTTTCAAGTTTGGAAACAGAAAATAATCCGAGGGGGCTAAATCTGGTGAATAGGGTGCATGAGGTAGCAATTCAAACTTTAATTCGTTAATTTTGGCCATTGCAATAACGGATTTGTGAGCTGGTGCATTGACTTGATGAGACAACACTTTCTTCTTCTTAACCAAATGCGGCCGTTTTTGCTTGATTTCATCGCTCAAACATTGCAATAAGTTCGCATAATACTCGCTGTTGATAGTTTTACCTTTTTCAAGATAGTCAATGAAAATTATCCCACGCGCATCCCAAAACACCGACGCCATAACCTTGCCTACAGATGAAACGGTCTTTGCCTTCTTTGGAGCCGGTTGTCCCTTTTGAGTCCATTGTTTTGATTGTTCTTTTGTCTTGGGTGTGAAGTGATGGACCCATGTTTCATCCATGGTTATGAAACGACGCAAAAATTCTGCTTTGTTGCTGTGAAACTTAGCTAAACACATGAGTGTTGAAACATCTTCACGACACTGTTTCTGCTCGATTGTGAGCAATCGCAGCACCCATCTTGCACACAGCTTCCTCATGTCCAAATTTTCAGATAATATGCGATGAACTGCACTTTTTGCAATGCCTACTATGTCTGCTAGCTCGCGCAGTTTCAGTCGACGATCATTCAGTACCGCTTTGTGAATTTTCTTCACCATTTCTGGAGTCGTCACCCACCTCATTTGGTCGACCACTGCGATGCTGATCTTGGCAGCTCATACGACCTCGTTTGAACTCTGCTACCCAATATTTTACTGATGTAAACGAAGGAGCAGACTCACCCAAAATAGAATCCAGTTCAGCTTTTATATTGGTTGGGCTGAGGTCTTTGAAATAAAAGTATTGTACCACATAACGATGACCAATTTTCTCCACTTTCACAAATTCACTGAAAACGTTCAGTATTGATCGCTGCCAAACAAATACTAAACAACGTGGCGTCTTCAAACTTGACACATACGCTTTATAGGTTGCATAATTTCTAATACAATGATATTTTTCAAACAACTATCGCCATCTCTAGGTCAGGCAGGTACTTCTGGGACGACCCTCGTACATTCTGGTTTAAAATAAACAACATGCAAAATTTTGGTCATTTCGTAACAGCGTAACTTTTTCATTTTAAACCCGATTCTATTGATTACTCCAGCAGGCGGTGGATACACTTATTGGCTTCATTGCGTAAATATGACTTTTTGATTGTAGTTACGGTTTGACTTATTTTACAGGGTAATTACTCCAACTTTTACTCACTTTGTGGTGTGACTCCGGTTGCCAATCAGGCTGCATTGCTTTCCATTATCAAGAACATTTTGTCTATAATATGGTTTTCTATTCACGTCAATATATATACAGTGGTAGAAGTTTCAGAGCCAAATGAAGATGTTACAACCAATTTAGCTTCTTCCTTTCATAACTTTTTTAATTCCTGTACCAAGTCAAAGAGTTGTTCATCAATTTGTACAGAAATGCATTGCCTTTCTGTGCTAGGTTCACATCTTTTTATATCGTCATTGCTTTCGTTTATCTACCGTGTCGAAGAGGATGAAAACTTTTGAGTTAATTCAAGAACACGCTGTATAATAATTTCACGCTATACCCTTTTAAAATACAGTGCCAGGGCAATAACCAGATACTTTCCACTAATTTCGTGTTCCTGAAAATTCTAGAGAGGATTGTTCTTTCGGAGCAGAATGAATGTTACACAGCAATTCATAGATTTTAATCCTTTTAATATGGCTCCCGGATAATGTTCCTTCATAACATGTGTGGGAGCATGATTGATGCATATTTTGCATTATACAGAGTCAGGGTGAATGATCACCACTCGTAAGAAACGTTTAGATAAACGCAACAGGGAAGAGAACCATATGTTTTACTGCTGTCCTATGACCTTTTTGAGGCGCTTTGCATCCAATAGCGGCGCATCCAATAGAGGCTACACGAGTGTTCGCCGAGGTTCGACTCCAATACTGTTTCTGTTCGGTAAAGCTGCTGATCCGCATCCTCGAGGACGACAGCACTTTGCGTGCGGGCATTCGGAATGTCAAACTGAGATTTGGCGAGTTGGAGAGAAGAAGACCGGTAGCGATGCAATAGTGACTCCTCTTTGGCATAAGATAAACGGTATCAATGGCGATTTCAAAAAATGAGAACCTAACGCAGAAAGGCGTGTACAATTTGGTGAAAAACTTTTTGAATTCGTACGGGAATTAAAAAAGTTATGAAAGAAGGAAAGAAAATTGAAATTGAAAATGTCCATTTGCCTCTAAAACTCCAACCGCTGGGTATATTGATTATAGAGAAAATTGATGATGGAAAAGCATTGCAGGCTGATTGGCAACTGGATTCACACCACAGAGTGATTCAAAGTTGGAGTACTGAAACATCATTTTAATTTACCGTGTACAACAGGTGCGTGGTTACAATCAAGAACTAGAGATTAATGCCAATGAGAGTACCTACCGCGTGCGGAAAAAGTCAATAAAACCGAGGTAAAAGAAAAAATTTATGACGTACCGAATTTGACCAAAACTTTGCTTGTGCTTATTTTGAATCTGAGTGTAGATTACAGCTTGCTCATTTTAAATAAAACACCTTGTATGTTATTCAATTTTGTTCCGAATTTGACCAAAACTTTGCTTGTGTTTATTTTGAATCTGAGTGTAGATTACAGCTTGCTCGTTTTAAATAAAACACCTTGTATGTTATTCAATTTTTAGATTCTATGTAAAGATCCTAAATACATTTCATGCATATCATCCCTATACTGCTTTCATATCTCAAATTTTGCGTAAAAAAATGAAAAATGCAGGACAATAAATCATAACAATTTTTTCTCGTATTTTTGCTTTGTGTGTGATGTGTGACGAAATATATCACATTTTTGTAAATTACTATTTTTTTGGTAATTATTTAACTTACTTTGTCTCAACACCCTCAAAGTCTCTTTCCTCTCCTCCTCCGGCAAAAGAACATGCCCCTCTGGACACGGCTCGTCACTATGATCCGGTTGCTCATCCTGTTTTCTATCTCTCAGGTACTTTGGTACTACACCTCTTTGATAACTAGGTGGTGCTTGTGCAGGTACTTTGCTCGCAGCAGGTTTTAGCTGTTTGGGCTGCAGGTTGGTCATGTTTTTCTTTATGTAGTCTTTTTCTTCTAAATCTAGTCCAAAAAACAATTTCTATAATTGACAGCATCAAAGGATTTATGAATGTAAAAAAGTCTTATTCTCACACCGAAGCAGAAGCAGAAATACCTGACCTGGAATGTGGTAATGTTCATAAACAGCCATATTGCTTGTATCATTTTTCTTTTGTAGATAGGCACTATTTTAAATAAAGGAGATTAAAGTGTGAATCAATGCCATACAAAAAAAAACACAAAATACGACTCTGATGTTGGCAGGTTAGTCAAAATTGCATTTCACTTGTTGATATGGGGTACTTGGAAGGTTACTAGACAATACGCTGTTATTTGCTGCAAGATTTGACATAATGAAGGTGAAAAATACTCTAGGTTTACTTGGATGAGAAGGTAGAAATGAGTATTACCCGCATTACTCGTCCAAAATATATATATATATATATATATATATATATATATATAATAATTATAATCAAAATAAAAAATAAATAATGATAGTCAAAACGTGAACCTGAAACAGTTATGCGTTTAAAAAAGTATTGCAACATGAATGACCCCTCACGTCTCAATATCAAAACAGCATTCCTGTTGTAGATTATTTGTATACAATTTCGGCCTTCCCTCAGCAGGGTTAAAATATGTAATAGTAATAATAATAAATCAAAATAACAGTGCATGATTACAATGTATTATACACTGTTAGGTGAAATATACGCCACAGTCACAGAAAAAACAAAAAGGCAAAACATATAACATAATAGGGATATTACATTTCAAAATATTCTTGAACGTCATATGGTTCTAAGTGCATTAACAATTGATAAATACTCTTTTTATATTCTTTTATATCTGCCAACCTTTGTGGTAACTTATTATATATTTTAGTACAGCTGTAATGGACATTTTTTTCGGTAACCGTGAGATGATGGACTGGATACAGAAGATTTATATTTCTATTTCCTGTGTTATAGTCACTTCGTGGGTTACCGATAAAATTGTTAATATTTTTAAATGTAAAAATTAGAATCTCTTGAATATATATATATTATTATTATGATAATTGAGATGAGCAGAGTACACAGTACTATAAGCTATTGCGGCTACAGTTAAAATTTTATTACTCTTAAATTTTCCTCTGCAAGTCTCTAGAGGAAATTTTTAGGATGCACCTCAGCACTCGCTTTTGCACTAGAAAGATCCTATTGATATGGCTATGGGATCTCAGTGGGGATATCCAAGTCTACCTGAGCTTACCTAAACTCTGCATATCATTTTCAATAGTGTCCCCATAGCTCTTGACTCTTGTTGGTGAATGCTTTGTACTTTCATCACTTCTGCCCAACCCTGGGCTTGGATACTTGATTACTCCAGTTTCATACAACCTGTTCAGGTCATCTGTTCTCTCTGTCTGTATTGCCCTACTAGTAAACCTGTCATTGACCTCTAATGTGGATTTTGCTTTGGTTCTTTGCACCTGATCTTGCTTTGCTTTTTGGTTTGCCGCAGGTGGCTTCTTTAATGGCTGCTTGGTTAAATGATGTGCTTTTGTGTTGTCTGATAAAGAAATATACAGTAATGGACAAAAGTATATAGACAAATTAATATTGTGCTGTATTTCTTTCTTAACTTGTTTTATTAATACAGCAAGCTGTATACATAATTCGTTATAGCATAATACTCACTTATACATTAGACTCTCTTCAATAAAAAATTAATTGAAAGAAACTGGAACTATGAAGGACAAAAATAGATAGACAAAGCAAAACAATTATAGAAAAAAGAAGCAAAGTTTATTGAATTATAGAAAACCAACCATGTTTGTGTTAATATTTTGTAGCATAACCATTATTATCAATCACCGCCTGGCATCGTCTCGGCATAGATTGTAGAAGTTTCTTGTTATAAGATTCATCAATCTGTCTCCACTTATGCTCTAAAGCATCAAAAAGTTCATCCTTGTTTGAATAATTTTTATCTCGTATTTGCTTAACTAAGTATTCCCATAGATTTTCAATGGGGTTTATATCGGGAGACTGTGAAGGCCATTTGGGAACTCTTATTTTTTTATCCAGAAAGAATTTCTCTGCGAGATTTGAAGTGTGCTTCAGATCATTATCTTGCTGGAATATTGATCTTAAGGGCATATTGTCCTCCATATAAGGTAACATGACATGCTTTAGTATGTCTGTGTATACAAACTTATCCACAGTGCCATCTATTCTATGTAAAGGTCCCATCCCAAACCCGTAAAGCACTCCCAAACCATAACAGACCTGCCTCCATGTTTGACAGTGGGCAAAGTGTACTTGGGATTCAATCTGTGTCCACTAGGACGTCTAACATAATGAACACTATCTGATCCAAACATATTGAACTTGCATTCATCACTGAAACATACCCTCTTGCAGTCACAGATGCTCCAATCAAGATGCAACCGTGCAAATTGTAATCGGTCCTTACAGTTTTTCCTCGAGAATAGCGGCTTCTTACTTGGGCGACGTGCAAATAACTTCAAATCATTTAATCTTCTACTTATAGTTTTCGTAGAAACACGGACAATTCCTTTTGTCTCGATTTCGGCTTTTATTTGTCTTGGGGCTTTGGACGAAACTACTTTTATTAATCTAACTGATGTAGCATTTAGTTTTCTTGGCTGCTCACTTCTCTTAGAGGCTTCCAAGATACATTTTTGTTTATATTTGTTCAATATTGCCCAAACTGCTTTATGCTTCAGCCTCAAATTTTTGGCAATGTCTACTTGATGTTGACCATCTTTGTATAACTCAATGATCTTAGTTTTCACATCGAAAGAAATTTCTGGACCATGCGGCATGGTCTTAAAATCACTCAACTTATTCCACAATACTTGATGAACACAAACTAATCCTCTTCTGACACGAAACTGTACTAAACTATTGTTGAAAAGAATTTGTCTACATATTTTTGTCCCTCATAAAAAAGTGCTTATATTCAGACTTGTATTGTGTGTTCATTGCAGATAATGTAAAAACAAGGAATTTGGTTTTTCTACTAATAACGCATTTGTTTATGGAGCAATGAAGTTTTCTAAAGGTATTTAAGTAAATATTCATATTTGTCTATATACTTTTGTCCATTACTGCATGTTGGCAAAAACTGGTTATTCGAATTCAAATTGAATATTTAAAACTACTACTAGAATTCAATTACTGTCTGGCCATTAAATGAAATCCCATATGTTAGAAATAGTTTTTATAATCTGATTACCATGAAAACCACAGGATGAGTCTAAGGTGCTACCCAAATCACTACAACTTGATTCAATTTCATCTTGTCCTGGCTAACAAATTGTCATCACAAATCTTGGAGTAATTATCATGTTACAAATCTTTTATCTTCAAGTGGCTTTCCCCCAATGAAGACGTTGCATTACTAGATTAAGTGCCTTACACTAAAAGAATAGCTGATTGCTGAAATGAGTTAAACTTGAAAAAGTTCTGAAAATTCATGGTTGATAAATTTCAAAGCATTTGGTTTGATTACGAATTGGCCGACTTTAAATTAGAAACACCGCCAAAAGAATTTGCTAACCAAACTCAGACAAGATTTTGTGACAGCGGTGAATGCAGATTGAATGATTTAAGACAGAGGTGTAACCCATCAGTTTGTTCATTACAAACTTACCTGTTGATGAACTGTGATGCCTACTTGGTGTAATATCCCTAGACTTTAACAAAGGAGGTACATTCTGATATTTGTCTGCCCTTGTAGCTCTAGGCTGAATTACTCCAGCCTCCTGTAGCAGATTCTGCATCTGTTTGATGGATTTGACATTTTCTTTGATGAAATTTCTTCTAGAAACAGGTTCTAAAATCAATACGAGTAGTAGCAAGAATCGGCATGAGAACCCTGTGGATGTACTCACTTGGATCTGGGAAAATTCCTCGCAAAGTCGTGGTATGCATAGTCGAACGGTTTCATCTGTGAATTTTTTATGAAAACGATACAAATGTGTAAAAAGTATATGTGTGTGACGTTACATTACCTGATTTTCTTCATTTTTTTGCCTGACAACCACCGTCAACAATTTTGAATCTTTTGTTGTTTTATTGTTCGCTGCCAACATTACGATAACAAAGTTTGATATGAGGGAAACTTCAAATAAATCTGATATCTGGAAGAATTTATTTACTGTCGGTTACATTACTGTTGCGGAAGAAAGGCGTGATTAGCTGCCACGTGACTAACTATCTCTCTGTTGATTGTACAATTGATTTAAATTTCAAAAACGGTGAATGCTTCCTAATTTGAAAATACAGTAGATAGACCGTATTCCGCGAGTATCCGTCACGCTTTGACGTCTACTGAGGTGAACAGGCTGATCAGCAAGTGACATTTTTGTGTTAGTCAGTTAGTCTGCAAGGTTGGCAATCAGTGCCGGATGCTTCGCTATTCGATTTTCGTCCGCCGGCGCGCCTGACGTCACGTGAAGAGTGATTATCATTTGGGTTGATATGGAAAACGTGCATATTTTCATCTAGAGGCCAAACGGCTGAACGGATTTTCACATATGAAGTGTCGCTGAATTCGTCTTTGCAGATTTCAACCTTGTAATTGATATTTCATAAGCTACAGCTCAAACGGCTTGATAGATTTTCACATATGAGGTGTTTTTGGATTCGTCTTAGCGGTGCGAGTGAAACAATCTACATTAAAATTTCAAACATAACAAAATGGCGGATTCAAACAAAAGATTTCAACCTTGTAATTCCTATCTCACAGGCTATAGCTTAAACGGCTTTCTAGCCCCACAGTAGAGCGCGTATCGTCACTTTACTGTAAAAACAAGATTTTTCTACATTACCTATATTTTAGTATGTTCTGTGGAGCAGGTTTAAACTCTAGGGGATAAGTTGAGCCCTTTGCCTTTTTTTCGTAAGCACTTTTCCGCTTTTCCCCATCAACAGATGTAGATGGTCCAGGTGTCACCGTAGCGCTTTTTACATCGACTTTGATTTTTCTTTTTGTATGATGTAGCCATTTTTTGCTAAGGTTTGGGTCTTGAGGAAAACTGTGGAACTTCCTGTCTTTGCAAGGATTCCGTTTAGATTGGTTGTTGAAATTACATCCCACAACAGCACACCGCATTTTTATGAATTTACTAGCATCACAGGGTATATAGAGTATGTATAACTAATGTAACAAGTCACTAAACCACCAAAAAACACCAACAAATCGCACTATATAGTATTAACCAGGATACACGTGAACTGCAGTAACGTTACGACAATCCTGCCGCTGGTAACCACGAGCCGATAACTCTCCGGGTGACGTCACGAAGCTCCGCCCACATGCGTAATATCCTATCTTCAGTGTATGTGTATCGTGGTTGGCAATAATAAATCGGGTATAAATCTAATAAAACTTGTTTGCGGTGTTTTGTTTTTTATGCAAATGAACTTTTCTAAATAAAATTGCGGTTAGCAAGTACAAAATGAATCTGCAGCGTACAAAAAACCAAAACAAAATACGGCTAAGCGCTCTTGATGACGGCAACGGCCAACGGTCCGTTTTTAAAAACGGACCGGTGCCCGTAGTAGTTCAGTAGTCTTCAGGTGTATATGAACGTTTGTTCACGCAACGGGAGTCGATCCGTTGGCTGCCTTCCCGCCGGCTACACATCCGATCTCCCTCGAGCGACGTTCATCGGCCCGATGCAGTGAATCGTGCAAGTGAATGCAAGTCTGTTGAAGACGTTGGACGGACATCCGTTTTAGCTCCCCAACAATTTTGTTTAGTTTGTGTTTAAAAGGCTCCACGTGTGTACATAAAATATGGATCACCAAATTGATATACGTAGAAGCTTTAATTAGTGCCGTGGAAAAGAGACCAGTACTATGGGACAAAACCACAGAGATTTACAAAAATAAGCAGCTCAATTTTACGGCATGGAAAGAAATCTGCATGATTTTACATGAAAGCTTCGATACATTATCGGACAAAGAAAAAAACGATTTTGGTAATTTTTCATTATTTATTTAAGAATTAGAATAGAAATACATACAACATTTCTTAAGCATATTGATTCTGCCACTGCAATCTCCCCTCTGGTGTCATAAAATACTCCGCAAATTTATTGCGGATATTATTGGCTGTTAAAGAACCTCTTACCGAATTTGAACTAGGTATATCGAGCAGGGCGGAATCAGAGTCAGTAGCAAATAAATCACTTGCCATATTATTAATAATTCGTTCTTCTTTGTGGATAAAATTTTGCAACAAACAACAAGTTTTTACTATGTCGACTGCTAAATCCGTTGATACATTTAATGGTCGATGGAAAATTCGCCATTATCCCAAACGCACATTCAACGTACCGCCTTGCTCTTGTCAGGCGATAGTTAAATGTTCTTTTTACATCATCGAGTTGATGCCCACCAAACGGGCGAAGTAAATGTTCATGTAATGCGAATGCCTCGTCCGCAACAAATACATAGGGTAGTTCACACTGAGTTCCCAATTTGTTGGTATATGGTGGTATATTTAATCTATTGTTCACTAAACTTTTCCAAAACTCTGTTTCCTTAAATACAGCCGAATCGCATTCTTTGCCATAGGCACCAACATCAATGAAAATAAAATTATAATTTGAGTCTACCACAGCCATCAACACAATTGAAAAATAATGTTTATAGTTTAGAAACATTGAACCACTTTCTTCTGGCTTTATAACTCGTATGTGTTTCCCGTCTACCGCTCCTAAGCACAAAGGAAAATTCGATGCACTCTCAAAATTGTTTGCTATCATTAACCACTCCTCTTCTGACGGAATTTTCATATATATCTGCAATTCGGACCATATTGCTTTACATACTTCTCGAACAATATAACTTATAGTTTTAATTCCCATTCTAAATGTGTATTGAAGATCCGTGAATGTATTTCCTGATGCCAAGTATCTGTAAAAAAAACTACAAATAATGTTATTTATTAATGTTTTTATTTTCAGGCAAAGAAGTTATAAAGAAGTGGAGTAATGCAAGAGATAACTGGATGAGATGCTCTAAGAAAATGAAAGAGTACAAGTCAGGTTCTGAAGCAAAGCCAATTACAAAATATAAATTTTATGAGCAGATGCAATTTTTAAATAAAATTGTGAGTCATCGACCAACAGAAACAAATATGCCATCTGCTGAAACCGACGTAGAAACCGCGGTCAAAGATGACTGTTCAGTCCCAAAAAAGAGAGGGAAGAAAGAAGTTAAAGAGGATCCCTTGAACAAAAGGATTAGTAACCTACTAGACTCTTCCGAAAAAGAAGACAATAGCAGAATAATGTGTTTTTTTAAAGGAATTGCACCGACCATAGAAAAATTTTGTGATGCTGATATCGTAAATTTTCAGTACGAGGTAATTAAAGCCATGCGAAACATTCAGAAAAAAAATATGCCGCAGCATAGTTTGCAGCCCCAGAGAAATTACTATGAAAACAACAATTCAATGACATTTCAATCACAATCACTTCAGATTGCCCAGAATAATATGAATTCAAATTCATATCGGGGATATCGTACTACACCACTTCAACTACAAATTATAGTGAAAATACATTGAACGAATCACGTCAATATGAAACATTACATGTTAGAGTACCATCTTCGCCGACTGATGAATATTCTTTGGGACCGTCATCAATCGACAGTCAACATTCATCCGTGAGTCAAAGCTATAATATAGATTTCGATTTTGCAAAATCACCCGGGTCCTATCAATAATTTTTTGTCTTATGTATTAACTTGACTTTGAATATTATAAAACTTAATCAATACGTTAGAAGTTTTATTTATATTGTATTAACAATAACATATTCATACATACCTAATGGTTACAGCTAATCTTTCAGCAGGTGAAATGGGTAGGCGCATATTAGTGTCAGCACGTTTTAATTTATTATGTACCATTCCTAATAATTTGCGAAAACTCTCTCGAGTCATGCGAAAGAAATTAAAAAATTTAGTTTCGCCTTTCTGTAATTCTTCAAAAAGTGTATGGAAAACACCATAAGTTTCTCGTTCCAATAAAATAGGATGTACCCACATTTTCCTTTTGCACTTTTCTTTCATCTGCCTTTTTTTGTACAAATAGTAGGCTAATATAAGCTTCGTCTTTGTCGACAACATGTTTGCTGCACTGCTGCACGCTGCACACTTGTTTTAAAACTGGCGAGATTTTGGAGTTTTAATATAGACAACGGAATCATCTCCGTGAAATAAATGAATCTTCGACAAGGGTATCCGTTTAGCACCGGCCCGTTATCCGGTAAAAAAACGTTCGTTAACAAACGGCCTAAGTCTGCCTGGCGTTGACGGATCCGTCAAAATTATGTGTCCTGTTGCGATATGGGGAATTTTGAGATATTACTAGGTAATCAGTTGTCATTCCACCGTAATGGATACTCGTGAAAAAGACTATATATCTAATTTCTCAAAAGAATGGATTCGCGCTGTTTTTTATTTGAAGTGTCTGATTTTCTAAAAGTAGAATCAGTTGAAGAGTAGCCACTGATTATAGTAGTACTCTGTGGAGTAGCTCTAACTGATGGTAAAACCAGCTCTTACAGGCAGGGCTGTCTTGTTCTCTGGGAGCCCTACATAAGAAGAAAAGGGAGGTCAGTACTCGGTATTTTTTTAGAAATTTCGAAGGACTTTGAGGATTTCGGGGCTTCATTGAGCCAGGAACCTGGACACGGACCTCTTGTGCACAGATGGAATGGCTTTAAGGTGCTTTATAGTATCTATACATACCCCATTTCACGATTATCCATCCCAGTAGAATGACAGCTGATTATCTAGTAATATCTCAAAATTCCTCATATAAGCACAGAACAACTCTGACGGATCTGTCAACGTCAGAGTCGTATTTTGTTTTGATTTTTTGTACTTGCAAACAGCATCTTTAATAAGGAAAGTTCATTTGCATACAAAAAAACAAAACGCTATAAACTGGTCTTACTAGATTTACATTCATTATTGCCAAAGTTGTAGACTAACGCACAAATGTCACTTGCTGATCGCTGTTCACCTCAGTAGACCTCAAAGCATGATAAATACAGGATAGTCGTGAAATAGGGTATATTTCGCACACTTAAAACCTCATGAAGTAAAAGTAATAAAAGAACTAGAATATCTTTTCAAATATTTTATTATCACATGAATGTAATTCAAAAAATCAATAAATATATAGGTACATGTAAAAAAATCTAAACTTAACGATTATTCGAGTTTCGTGTTAAATTTGTTCATTTTAACTGGTAACAAGAATAAACAGTGATGTATTCAACATTGTAGAATGCAGAACAATATACACAGAACATGTCAAAGCGATACGAAAGTTATAAATAAAGAAGAAAAATTATACGTCGAGTTCAACTCTTGAAACTTATCATGTGGTTTTCATGTTCATAGGGGACTGCATTGTCTGGCCGAATCAAACTACATATCTCTTACTGCTTTCACCACGGTGGCCTTTTTAAAGTTTAATGAATATTAATGACAGTGTAATTTATGTCTGTCTTCCACGAACTGTCATCTGAAGGACAGATGAACAAACTATACTGGCTTTAATTATCATTGTACTTGGAAAAAGCCACCTCGGTGGCCGAAACGTCGTACAATAAACATAAATTGAATTATACGTGTTATTAGATTCACCAGGCAATGGACACCTATGTATCTTTAACTTTTGATTTTATTTATATGTAGATTTCCTTTCGAGAGCACTCTCTACATAACAACGAAATGAATAGATTGGGCTTGAAATGTTTAGACTATTCGGCGATTTTCTCTGTTTTACAAAATATATCTATACATTTTCCTCACTAAAAAATGAAAAGTAAACTCTTAGTTACTTGAACAAATAACCTCAATAGTATCGATTTTATCTGCCTTTGGTTAAAAAATTATACTTCTTGTCAGACTACTTGAATTAGATTTCATCTTGGAAGATTAATGTCTATCAACATATTTTTGCAAAAATATGGAAAAATCACATTCACTTTGGTACACGAAGCCTACACAGTCATACCTTTATTACAATTTAGTTTTTAAATATTGAACAAAAACCTTATTTAGAACGTTATATTAATTTTATCGCAAACTTTCGATACGGACTTCTTAATATTTCATATAAAGTGCAGATGCTACTTTGTATAAACAGCACTTTCCCTTATTATAGACAGTTTCAGCTATAACCAGTGTGCACTGTATCTTGAAGCCCCATTAAGCTGGTAGGTAAAGTGGAATTGCACAATCGCCATATAATAATCATATGTAGAAAACTATTGCACATACGTATTGGAAGCCAGCAACGACCTTAACTGGTATCTTGCAATTGATGAATTCTCAAGTTGAGAGATCCTTCAGAAGGAGAGTCTCTGAATAGACTAGTGGATAGATCGACAGCAACGTACAAACCGCATAATAGCATAGGCCCTATGATAGCTCCCTCTACGCCCAAACAGAATATTCCGCCGGCTATTGCCAAGCCTGTCAGGTAAGGATGACCGCCGCTGGAATAGATAAAAAGCACTTCAACTAGGTAATCGAAGATTGTACCGAAATAGTTTTAAAACATAGACGAAAAATCAGAAACCCTATTATTCACAATGAAGGTGGACGTAGATCTTTTCCCAGGCGGATTATATCAAATTCGGACAGCTGGTGATAGTTAGTAGTAGTATTAGTTGAAGATTTATTTAGCACGTTGAATTTTGTCAAAGTATTCTGGCCTATCACGCTTGATAGAATACAGATTTGTAGCATATATTATGCCTTTTGGACATTAAATGGAAGTCATCTTTATTTCTGGTATTATACGAGTATAAATGATTGTCGGCACTTGATGCTAATTGAGGTAAGCATGGTGGCAATAAATTATTTTGCATTTTTTGACTATGTCAGATAAATCGTTTATGAATAAAATAAAAAGAAGTGGTCTCAGGATACTGCTCTGTGGAATACCTAACATATTTTCAATTTATGATGAAATAGTGTTATAAATTTTTTAAACTTGCATCGTTTTAGACAAAAAATTTTCATACTAGTCTAGAACACTTCCTGATATACCTGATGCCATCAATTTACCTAACAAAATATCCATGCCTGCTTGTGTTTCCATCAAAATTTTGTCTTCCCATATAAACTGCATTAATTTGCCATGTACTATGGACACCAATAAACTTTCAATGTCTGGTAACACATTTACTGGTCTCATATCGCTGTATTTTTTTAAAATCTGTCAAACAAGTTTGTGAATGCATTAATTTTCGACAAAATAAAACATTCCTGGGTTCTTCAATTATTAAACGTTCCAGCACAAATTTAACTTTTAGAGATGAGTCTTATGTACAACGGCGAATCTTCCGCCCTTTTTCTGTCGACAATGATTCGTGGAGCAACTATTCTATTAGCTTTCACTCAGTTGTTCAATTCCCTCGTGTCAAGAATTGGCCTGCTGATGTCACTAAGTTTCAGTGGAACTCAAGTAATCTGTACCAGCGCCTCTACCATTATGGTAAATAACACTGGTAACAAAATTGAAATAGTTTTTTTTGTGACATGGACAAAACAAGGTGGTTATTATGTAAAACGTACTAAAAAAGCCGGAAATATCAAATTCTATGACCCACGGTTTTCTTGCAATAAGGCATTTTATTTGCTGCTTATACTCGTAAAATATAAGGATATGTGTGTAAGAGTACTAATAAACACTCGAATAAACATTAATCTCAAAATGTTGTTGTCGATGTTTTGCATTTAAAGGCATTGTCCATAAAGGTAGTCTCGATCACAATAAACTAAAAACAACACATCGTTTTAACAAAAAATAACAGTACTCAGAACATCTCAGTACTTCAACACAGAAAACGTAACTAACTCGGCTGCTATTAGTCTACTAATAAACGCAATATGCTCTCTAAACATAGAGCTCGCATATAAAAAACAGGAATAGACAGGTCTTAACATTATATATGTGCGTCATCGCATAAACGCCGAGAAATGCAGTAATATGGGATGTTACGAATTGTAGTTCATAAAAGTCGATGTTACCGAATATCTGTGGGTGACAGAAAAATTCTGTTTTTAGATTTGATTTAAGTGTCTCAAAATACATAAGAAACACCTAAAAATTGTCATGTCACAAATCCTGTGTTTATCAGTGTTATTATGTACGTAAACGAAACCACATTTGTATAAATTGTAAAAATAATTAATCTGTATGAACACTACAAGATCCGGTGTTGCACCATCTTCTATGTCGCCCTTATTTTGATGTTCAGGGACCTTATAGTTTAGAAAATTTCGACCACAAACCATAACCAGAATACTCACCCCTTAATTTCTTTGTATATAGTGGTATCAACAACTGAAGTTGGTAGGAACTGGAAGAGAGCAAACAGAATCGCTGCAATTCCTCGATCTTGGGCCAGCCAAAGATCAAGAACAGCAGGAATACATGCCCAGTAGGTGCCCAAAAATGGTACTGCTCCTAATATTGTAGCAAATGCTGAAAACGAGAACAATTTATACCAAACCACAATTTATGAACAGAACAAATCGCATATTTTTGACTCATTAGTCCAAACCACATAAACTTACCAGAAGGAAGATAGACGATCTTGACGCAAAAAAGATTATGAATGAACCATGTCCACAAGCCATAAAACGCAGCCATTTTGAAAGAAGCTGAGAACACTCCATTTATTGCTGCTTCTAAGGCATGCCCAAACCTTCTGCTACTTGGGGAGAAATTTATCAGAACCTCCAGAGGTTTGTATAAATCGGAACTCGAATTCAACAGATAAAAAAGCGTTGTCAAAAACACAACCTGAAATTGAAACGCAATAAGTAAAACTGTCCAGATTCGTGCGTCTTCCCGCAATTTTATCAGTTTTAGGTAAAAAATCATTATTAAATTCTGTCGATGTCTCATTCGGAAAGTAAAATCTGTAACATCTGCACGAGAGTTTAAACGTCGAACAAAAAATACATACGCTATTAAGTATGAAGTTCATCACAGCAGTGCCACCACCAAGGATTACAGATAAAAATGTACTGAAGGAGCTTAAAATTAAGCTGATATTTCCTTTTAGTATCCCCCATATCGATTCCAAAAGCGACATCAAAGTACCTATGTTCTGCTTGCAGAATTCGACAAGTGCGTTTACATTCAGCATTTCTGAAAAAAAATACTGTGATACTAAGCCCAGTCCAAATCCTCGGGATCAACTCTTGAATGAATACCTGAAGACTTCTGTAGATCATTAACAAAAGCTTCCCACGACGTTCTCACCGCTTCCTCGGTAACTTGAGGCCCGTGGCTATTATTTGGAGACATCCAATTTTGATAAACTCTGTCCCAGAGCTCAAGTACTTGTTGTTCTAGTTTGTCCGATTTGGCAGTGTCAACATCAGACATCATACTTTTAACCTAAAATTTATCATTCTGACGACTTTCGAGGAAGGAACGCGCAAGGAACTTACAGCTTTTGATATGCCTTGTCTGCCATACTGATAGGCGTTATCCAATATAGAATCGATTGTGTCGTCCCAAGCTGGTGGTAAAACTTGTCTCAATTCAGGATTGTGGACGACCGTCTGGTTTATCACATTACCTGTCATTTGTACTAACATGATGGCCTCCGCATAGATCTATAGAAAAACACGGATATTTCAGCAGTAAAATACATGGCCTTTAAGTTGCACTATTTCTTTACGGGTATGCAAGGCAGAAAAACAGAGTGCATGGATTGCGCTTGCAGTGTCTTCAGTTATTATGGATTGTGGTGTCATTCTCATTTTGTGACTGCTAGAATTTTGATAAAAAGTACTTCCAAAACAATCTTTGCCTCGCGAAAAACATACCTGGAGTGCTATAAAAATGGAAGCACATATCAAGAATACGATCAATCCAAGTATGACGACCAAACTAGCAAAAGTGTCAATGCTGTCACTGATACTCATCTTCAATACAGTGTTGGTTCTGTGAATCACCCTGTATAACCCTCTTATTGGGACGGGAACCAAAGCATCGTGTCTCTCCTCGCACCAAGCTTTGACAATACGAAAAACGTCCATAACCTTGTTGTACAGGTAATTCCACAGACCTAAATGCATACAAGAGGAATATTAAATCTTTTTCTTCTAATAAATGACAAAATAAATGGTTTTATTAAGAAATCCTAACTAACCTAAGTATATCCCAAGGTGTTTCAACATATAAAATAAGATTGGCACTGGAAGTAGTGGAAGCAGCATGGTATTTTTCCAAAAAAGCATCATGATACACAGCCACAGAACAGTGTACAAATAAAATGTGCTACCGTAAGATTCTGAGATCAAACTGCTATTTGAGTAACTCAGGCTCAGTTTCTTGCCAAGACTTAAGATTGCTCCTAAAAAACGATTTGTTATATAAACTGGTGGACAGTTGCTTTGCAACATGGACAATTTTACCCAAATTCAGCCTAGATATTTTCGGAACAGAAAGAAATATCGAGCTGTGGTATTCGGGAGGTTCTTGACCAACTCTTTGTCCACCAGTTCAGATGATAACATCAATTACGGAATGATACAAAAGAAAATGAACTTAGAGAAAACATATTATTCAGGTTATCCAAAGAACTATCCCTGGACCGTTCTGATTCCGCACAATTGGTAGTGATTTCAAAACTGCTGGTAGTTCAGAAGGGTTCTGGGATCACTCACTGTAAAAACCTGAAGAAACATTTGAAATCTCAAGACAAATCTGGTGAGATTTCTTATTTTATTTTGTGAATTTTTGCAATGCCTTTCCACAATTTCTATCCATTGAATTTTATTTGGGATCACCTTTATGTAATTTTGTAGAACTTTTCAAAAGTTGTGGTTGAGATATAGAGCGTTTCAATATCTTATCCTTATTTCGGACTGCAGGTTTTAAGAGCTCATTGATTTCAGACATTTGATGTGGCTGTTGTTGTATCAAGTGAATTCCCTGGAAAAAATGTGTTGATATCAAACATCTAAAAACAAGCAATATATTAAATCCAAATATACCAAACCAAAATCCACTGCAAACTACTAATGAAATATACACAATATACCTGACTGGT